CACGCTATCGAATGGTCGAATTGTGATAAGTGTACATGTAATGACGATAAAGATTGTAATAACTTTTTAATAATAATTTTCATCAAATCGGTCCAGATTGTTATAGCTTATTAAAAAAACTTTGAAATTTTCGAATTAAAAACGTGTGTACAGGACAACGTCTGTCGGGTCCGCTAGTATATATATATATATATGTAGTATTTATCTTATTTGTTTTATTATTGATGTCACAATTATTCTACATTCGTAGACTTCAAGCGTTCAAATATTCAACTTTCCACGCTTTTTACGGTTTTTTACTTTTTATTGCATTTGTCCATTTCACTGCACAATGTAATTGCAACAAACTGAGAATTAGTATACATCAAAGGATCGCTATGATGTACAATGATGTATATCGTTGCAAAATTAAAAAGAAATTGTCCAAAAGAATATAGAATATAAAATATTCCTTCTGTGTATTCCTAGCAATGTGAAAAATTAGTATTGCCTTATGTGTAGTATACATATATGTAGTATATATATATTGTGTATATATATGTATGTATTAGTTTGGTAATGAGAGATTCGCAATAGTTACCGAGATTTTAATTAACAAAAATTGCGAATAAACATGCATTGAGCATGTAAGACATTACGCAACTAAGACAGCCCTGCGCGATAATTTTTTATTACGTATTATGTATGCTATATAGGCTGTGTTCCAAAATTCAGTACCAGCGCTAAAGTTTTATAGTTCACGTCACATATAGTATACAATTTTAGCACTGGCAGCGTGCTGGCAGCAATTGTGGAACACAGCTATAGTAGATGCTGTAATATTATCTCTTTCTATACTCTATACGTTGCTACGGATGACATCAAAGCGCGCGAAGCGCGCCGAGATGTCTCACGCGCATAAAAGAGCCCAATGCATGCTTTTTTGCAAATCTTCGTTATTTAAAATCTTGGTAATTATTGCAAATCTTGCAAAATGATATAGAACTTTTTGACTCAGGTTTATTCTTTCTATCTGCTTAGAGATGTTAAACCAATTGTCGAGCACCCTGTACATATGCATATAAATGCAAATATACGCACCTATAACCATATGAACACGAGATTTGAGTACCTACGTACATACATACATTGTACATATATGCAGTATTGTTCCCGAGTTGCTGCCACCAGTATTTAAATGGAAGAACGTGCAAACATGTGATGCTTTAATATTATTAAAAGTTCTGTCTTTTTTATGTTAACCTTGTATAGAATTGTATTAATACTTTTGGGGTTACGTATGTATGAAACAGATACGCTTTGTCTTAGAACATAATTTGAAAATTAAAAACTGTGAACTAAAAAATATTTCGAACTCATCTTATTACGATTTGTTTGATAAAGTATTTATTAATAAATACTTTTCTAAAGTGTTTATAAAAGTGAATATTTATTAGAAATACATATAATGCTACTAATAAATACTAATGCTTATAGTTAGTTTTACTACGTATGTATGTACATATGTACTACAAAAGTTTTTGAACAAAAGGAAATATATTTATAAATATATATCCTTTAAACATATATAGAAAATACAATTATACAATACATCACATCAGATACGTTTTTTCAATTCTGCAATGTTCTGCACAAGAATCGGTGCCGCTTTCTTGAAGAATTTTTTGTCATAATGCGTGAATATATAAAGTTGTAAATAATTGAGAAATACTTTTTCATTGATTCACAATACAATAAATATGATAGACTGCATCGTAAATGCATAAATAAGCAAGACATATACACGTGTGAATATCACTCCTTTATCATCAGCGATAAATATGACATATCTGACAATTCGATATCAGTTTTGAAAGTCGAAACTGCGTTAGTTTGTTTATAAAGAAGTAAAGTCTTAGATAATTCGTTTGCGATAAAAGTTCTTAGTATCACAATCTTTATTCAACGTAGTAAATATGGTTAAACATAATCGCACAATAAAATTACGCATGAGCGCAATGCTATTTAGTGAAGAAATACAATTAACGTAAAATCTTTTGCGTGGATTACAGTCACTAAATAAACACGATGTATGAAATATAAAAGAGCAACCAACAACTGCAAAAACAAGTGCAAGCACGTAGGTGTTTCATAGTAAAAAGGACAGTGAAAATGATATGATTACAGATTTAGAAATATTGTGGTAAAATATCTACGAAGTTGTCACGATGCTGCTGTTTTAAAAGAAAGTGCATTACATAAAAATGCTAATACAATAATATCTCAGGTAAAAGTATTCGGTAGAAATATTTATGTTATTATCTATTTTTATATGATAAATATTCTTGTAATATAACTTTATATATTTCAGGATACGTTTCACATAAATGAAATGGAAATATTAGTTATAATTGTAGGAGATCCAGCTTATCCATTATTACCATGGCTTTTGAAAGGATTTACTAATTTATTGTCAGCAGAAAGAGAATCTTTTAATGTATATCTGATTGTAATACAATAATATCTCAGGTAAAAATATTTTGTAGGAATATTTATTTTATTATCTATTTTTGTATGATAAATATTCTTGTAATCCCTGATAGCCAAATGATAGCAGTATGCCAGCAGTATGCCACGCAGGTCTACTCAGCACTTTGCAGCAGATTCGCCTCCTCTGTGTCGTAAATATGAGTGAATTGTGTTGCGATACCATGAAAAAAAAAAAAAAACAGCAAAAAAGACAGAAAAAAATAAGGAAAAGTTGATCGTCACGACGTGAAGGATATAATAGAGATAATATCAAACAAGATCTGCTATTACAGTTACTGACAGCAGATGCACTACAGAAATGCAGCATGTTCTGCCGTCACGTTATAACGAAAAAAACATAGCTGATATCGACCAAGATTTTTATTTAAACAGTGGGCACATTATGAAAATAGAAAATATTTTAGTAAGAAAAACGATTTATATATATGGACGAATATTTTTGGCAACAAATAATATATTCGACTATCCTTCTGATTTGAATATTTTTAACATATGTATTGCAAAGAATTCGAGTGATAATTGTATACGAAATGTGAAAGATATTAAAAACAAGATGATAGTCTTTATTCAATAAGAAAGCTTTTATATTTTATCCATTTCTTCATTAAAATGTTTATTAAATATAAATTTTACATCTCTACAATCTATAATATTATTTTAATATATTACTTTAAAGGTAAATGAGATAATTTATATTTTAATTATTCAGTGAGTTTGTTTTAATTTGATTTTACTTTAGTTTTTACTTTATTTTTTATTCTAGACATTACGGAAATGAGTTGGAGAGTGGTGCATTTTATGAAAGAAAATACAGTAGAAGCCGTGCCAGCGACCTGAGTCAAAGATAATTATGCATGTTTTTGGCCATCATACAGTGGATTAAAATTAAGGAATATAATAAAAAATTGCATCCCACCTGCTCATGATTGGGATCTTCATCAATGCAGGCTAATTGGTGAATTATATAGTAAGCATTGTTTGGAAAAATGTATAATGTAAAAAGTCTATAAGTTTTTTATGTAACTATAATAATAACTATAAATAACATAAATAACAATAAATAACAAATTGTTATTTTAGGATATCTGAGTGTTGCAAGAAATAAAGCAACTCAAGCTGAAGAAACTTCTGATTTAGCATCAAACAATAAAAGATGTGACAGAAAAATTAAAAGAAAAAGATTTACTCTGATTCAGATTCAGATTCAAGACCAATTAACACTTTTACCACTTTCTTTCAAAAAAAGAGCATTATAAATTATACAGAAAATAAAGAAAGCAAATTTTTCTAATGTGATTATTTCTCAAATAATAATAAGTAAGAATTTTAAACTTTATATAATATAATATATATATATATACTATATATAATATTTATATAATATTTTGTTATAATATTGTTTGTGCAACACATTTGTATAAATATAAGTTAAAATTTAAATTATATAAAACAATTTTTTGCAATTTTTTAAGGATCTGTGATGACAATCCACACAAATACAACGGCATCAGATGTTGAAAGTGCTATTAAAATGTGGTTGGTTAAGGCCAAGGAAAGAATGCACAAACAACAAAAATAATATATTAATGTTTTTTGATTAAATCTATTCTAACAAGTTTCTATTTTATCTTATTAAACTATACATATTTTATTGTATTGAATTTTTGGTTTTGTTCTTATTTTATGTTCAAATTTTATGATATAATTAAAGTTCGATTTAATCATTCTCAGAACGATTAATGACGTCACATTTACTAAGAAGGTTTCTTTTATGTAAAACAGTTCTAGGAACATATATATATTCAAAACACATGCTTTATATAAAACCAACTTTCTTCTATTAACCCTTTGCACTCGAGGCCGTTTCCGCGCGGACCTACCAGCAACTCGAGACGTTTCGTAGCGCTTTTCGTGACTTTACTACCGCTAACATAAAATGATTACACGCAAAGTAACATACAAAACTTTTATATTTTAATACTTAATGTATCTTTACATGTTTACAAGGATAATGTAAAGTCACCTCTCGAGTTGCGGCATAAAATCGCGTGGTGAGTGAGACTCACCTCTCGAGTGCAAAGGGTTAAGATATGACGTCATTAATTGCTATGAGAGCGATTAAACTTGTGTCATTCAAAACTACTATCTATTTTCTTTTATTACCTATATCCTCTTATTAAAATATTCATAGAATATTCCTATACATTCAATAAAAATACTCAAAATGTTCTCTGAAAGTTCATTTAATATACTGAAAATGTTCATTTAATGTACAGAGAATGTTTATTTAATATTCATAGAATGTTCTCAAAACGTAACTTTTTGTCTACTTCGAATATTCTATTGATGTTCATAATAATCTCCAATCATCATGTAAGAATATTCTAAGAATATTCAAACATTTTCTGATGTCATTCTATGAATGTTCATAGAACATATTTGTGCTGTCTGGGAAACTAGTTTGAGTTTTCTTCTACATTCTGAATTTTCTCAGCTCCTTCCTCTCCTTCATTTTCTTCATCCGCCCACATCCGTCGAAGTGGATTTTCATTTCGTTGTCGTTTTTCTATGCGACTGCTCGTTCAGTGTCGCTGTTTCGATGATCGTAAAGCCTCTCGCATGTAAGTTTGAAATTCTGCTCGGCTTGGCTTTCCAAAGTTTCTATTGAAGCAAACGGCCTCTGAAGCAAATGTAATATATTGTGATACAAGTATACCAAATACATGCAACTGAAATTCAAGGTATTTACTATAAAATAAATAAAACTTAATTTTATTTTTGAGTACAAAGTAAAAAATAAAAATTCGACTTTACTTTAAAATTCGTGCATCAGTAAAAATCTACTATTTTTTTGATTACTATTTTTGGAATATCGATTTTGCATTAGATTACTTAAATTATTATACTATAGATAGGCGTAACGATTTTTGTGTTGCATAAAGGTTTAGACTCTTCACGACCAAACCATGTATATATGGCCATGACGCTGTCTTTAATCGCCTCTTTAAAAGACAAGTTTACAGCTTCTTTTATGGTAAATCCTCCAACATATTTCAAATAATCTACCTACAAGAACAATGCAAGTATGTTTAATAGACGCATTTCTTTGCAACGTGATTTCTGAAAATACTATTCTAAATTCAACTTACAACTTCTTTATACGATCGATTATCCGCTTTTTCAAAATCTTCCATTTCTATCTGTGTTGATATCGGTAAACTTTTTGGTTTTGACTATCCTCGTCGTTCTTGTTTTATTTGAATCCATTTTAAGATACTCTTCATATTTCTGTTTAATGTTCTAAAAGCAAAAAAATTATTCCTATATTTTCTGCAAAACTATTATATATAGCTTTATAATGTGTCCATACATTAAATGATTGAAGACATCTAAATCAATCATCTAAAGAAATCTTTACAAGTCTATCACCCTGATTTACATTTAAAAAAATAAAGATAAGTCTTGAAGATACTTTGGATAAACTTGTGATAAATACAAAAAAAGTCACTAATGAGGTGTTTATGTATAGATAATAAAACTTTATTTAAAGTACCCAGACGTTTCGAATGAAAATCTTTTTCAGTGGTTTACTGATTGCAAGAAAAGATAAAATGAACCAGACAAAAAACAAGATAGTTGAATTATGTGGTTTAAATATGAGAATAAATGATCGGAACACTCAACATAATGATCAGCGATCATTAGCCAGTGTAGACGCTTGTAAATCTAAGGCTTGAAAAATGCTCTCCCCTCTCTCTGTAACAAATTTTTCGTGATTAATAAGTTGTAATTTTTAGCGCTCTAGAAATAACACATTAAGAATACGGTAAAAAAGTACATATTCACTTACATGCTCAGAGATTGACGCAAGACATACCGAGATTGTAATACACTCTAATAAATGTGATAATAGTGACAAATCTAAGACATGATTAGTTTGTAGCTTCAGCAGATCACTGACTACTAGCTGACCAGTGTTGCACCGATATTGTTCCACAATAAATTCTGAATTCTTTTAAGCACATTTACATATAAGTGTCTTGAACTAATTCGCAAAAACAAAAATAAAACTGAAAAATACGCTTACATCAAGAGGTATTTCTAACGCTGCTTGGAAACAATCGACAACTTTGTCATACTTGTCGGACAAGTTGAATAATACACCTAGTCCATACTGTACATCCGCTTCATCTTAGCTGCGGTCCGTTTCATACGTGAATTCATTCTTGCAACTTGAATGAGTTGATTCATTCTTTTATCATATACTTTGCTACAGGAGAGAATATTTGTTGTTTATGAAAAATGTTTTACTATGTTTAAAGATTTTAAGTATTTTCACTTCCTCATATAACAAAATAGATACGCCAAAAGTTAAATATAAATTACTTAAATGTACTTATATAACCTTCGTCCTGCAAAAGTATTTTTTGCATTTTTTATCTGCAAACCTTTGCATTTTTTATCTGCAAACCAGGGACAATGTTTTTCACTGTATTTTCTATGTTAGTCGGAAAAATTCTGCAAGAAAAATTTGTAGTATCTAAACCTTCTACTATACAGATTAATCAAAACATTTTGGAAAAAATTAATAACTGTAATGAATTTTCTTTTCTCTTGTCTAGAGGTTATAAACGCGGAAAGATTTTGCGCGACACAAACGATCCTGGTTTGCAGGCGAAAAGGTAATTAAAAGAGAAAATCTTTGATTTTTTGTTAAAGAAATCGTACATTACTCACAGGCTTAGATCTCGAATCCGTCCGTATAGCAGCTGAAAGCGGCCGGGAGTTCTTTACAGGCAACGATAGGTTAGGTTTGGTGCTCTTTTGGCTCAATGGACCTATACAGCTAGTCCATACGCCATTCTACGTCTTTTTGATGAAAACTTATTTCAAACATTACTACTGTTAATCTAAAAAAATGTGTTAGTATTTATAAATATTTGATTGGTACATGAATTATAAGTTCATCGATGTCTATACCATTATAACCATGCTTAATACGCGTATCATTTTGATACAATACGCGTGAAAAAAGCGTATCGTATCATCTGAATACAGCATCGTTTACATCGTTGAAACCAAGCCGATTTAATATTAATATAGTACTTAATACGCGTATTAAGCGATCGGTACTATTCCATTCCAGAAACATGTTATACACATATTATATATATAAATCGCGTTCCGCGCGAACGCACAACTGAAAGGAAAACAAAGTTAGACTTTATTTTACTACATTTATAAATTACCTTGTATCAAAATCGCGTTATACAAAAATTATCTGTACGATATAAAAGCATAGTAGTAAAACTATAAAATATATTAGTTCTCATAAAACCCTTTCTATGAAAAAAGTAAGTAGTCCTGATAAAATACATTGTAGGAAAAATATCGATATAATACATTAAACGTATATTATAAGGACTTACATTTTTGCAAAGTACCCATAAACTACATTCTAGAAAAACAAGTTTTATCGGGACGGTCCTTCTAAACTACGGTACCTAAAAAAAATTAGCGCGTCCGTCTTGCTAAACACCGATGGTACCGCTAATATACATACTATATACAAAACTGTTCTCGTAATCAAGAGGCACGGTAGTGCCTCGCGCCAAGTTCACGCGCAGCGATTGCGCGCGAGCGGCGCGAGGCACTCCGGCCTCTATTACACGAAATTTGAATAAACTGGAATATTGTGAAAAAATAAATATACATATCTCAGAAACGACTGAACCGATCGATTTCGTTTTCATCTCAATCAAATCGGAATTAAAACTTGTTTGAAAAAGTATTCCTGTATTTTTCTTGTCTATGACTTCT